CCGCCGCCATGTCCACCGTTGCGGCCTCCTGGCTTGGAGTAGCCACGGCCGCCGTGGTCACCACCATTGCCGGCTTGTCTGCGGCCGCGGTCACCACCGTCGTCGCCGCCGCCTTGTCTGCGGCCTCGGGTGGCAGCGTTGGCAGATGAATGCGATCCGCCGCCACGGAGATTCAGCCTCGTCTCGAAGCTAAGCAGCTGAGAAAATAGCTCAGCCGCGGTGACTGGTTCTACCCTGGAGCACATGGCAGAAACCACAGGGTCGAACTCTTCGTCAAGTCTGGCTAGGATGTGGAAGACAATATCTTCCTCGTCCACCCTCTTCCTTGCAGCAATCAGTTCGTCGCAGAGGGTTCTGATCTTCCCGACATAGTCGGTGATGGATAGGTTGCCCTTCTGGAAGTTGGCGAGGGCGATCCGGATGTTAGTGGTCTGGGAGCGGGTGCGAGATGCAAGCATCCCCTCAACCGTGTTCCACAACTCCGCCGAGGTATGACAGGACGCAACCTGGATGGCTATCTCACGAGGGAGAGTCGTCAGAAGATACGAGAAAACTTTTTGGTCTTGCGCATACCAGGTCTGGAAGTCAGGGTTCGGCGCCTTCGCCGTGGTCTTGCCATCGGAGGAGGTCACATCGATCTGCATGGGCGGCGGTGGCTGCTCAAAGTCGAGGTACTTCGCCATCTGGGCTCCCCAGATGGCGGAGAGCACGGTCGCCCGCCACAGAGCCTGATTGCCCTTGGTGAGCTTCTCGATGGAGGCGTGCACGAACGGCGAGGAGGGGAAGGAACTTGTAGACGTCGCCATGGATGAGCTCGAGGATTGCTCTGATTACCATGAAAGAATGAAAGGCTAGAAGCGTATGTTGTTGGGCAGGGATGCATAAATGTTATATAGTCATATGGCAGATTACAAGAAGGCGCAGGTTGTTGCTAAACTTGACCTCTACTCTAAGCTATACCAAGATAAGATCTATCTAGCTAACAACCTGCCGCACCAAATACATTGTATGCGTTACAACACATACGTGACATGTTGTCACGTATTTCTATCTATACATTCTCTACAAGTCTATCGTTTAACAGTGGGCAATCCCTCCAGTAGCACACAATTGTATGATTTTGGTGGTTAGTCGAAAAAATAACTGGGTATACGGTAGAAGTATACCTTAGAAAGATACTCTGTAATCAGTTCACATAGTCCCCATCAATTTTGACCTCCAGCTTGCTTGTTGCTAGCAATCTGCATTGTTCTGATAACTCGACGCTGCAACCGTTGATTACCAGTTCTTCCAGCAAAGGTGGGAGGCCCTCATTTGGAAGCCCTGAGATATCTTCACAACTTATGATCTTCGACGTCTTGAGGGAAGGGAGGCCCCGCAGCCCCGTGGGAAGATGTATGAGATGCGTACAAGCATGAAAGCAGAGCTCTTGCAGGGACCTGAGGAGCAGAAGTGCTCTCTCTTGCTCATCTGTTAGTCTCGTTGCATCCAACCAAGTAAGCGTTAGGCTTCGGAGGCAGGTGAGGCCCTTGCAGAATGACATGTTAAGGGGAGACAACTCATCGATCTCAAGACTTTCCAGTGTAGGGAAGAATAACTCATAGCTATGACTTGGAATTCCCTCAACTGAATCGTAACTCTTCACTGTGCGTATTTCCAGATGCTTGAGGTTCACGAGGGATTGCAAGCCCTCTAGTGTGACGAGTGAACCGCAGGACCAAATTTCCAAACGTTCCAGCGACGTGCACGAATGCAGCCATAGAGATTTGAATCTTGAGTTAAAAGATAATTTCAAAGACCTGAGCATTCCAAGCGATTGCTTGCCCTATAATGTGATGAGCTGATCGCAACCGTCAATTTCCAATTCTTCCAAGGCCGTACAGGAATTCAGCTGTAGATATTCCAAACTTTTGCTGGTTACTTGTAACTTTCTGAGACAGGTGAAATTACCCACAAAGCAGGGCCGCAGAGCTTTTCGGGGATAATCAGACCAATCAAGATGTTCAACTGATTGCGGGAGGAGACATCTTCCATTCTCTACCTGTGAGAAGGAGGTAAATCCAGCAAAGCCTTCCCTACTCCCGTCAAATATAAGATGAGGGCATCCACCAATTTTTATCTTTCTGAGATTCAATGGAATGTGCACGACTCCATCTGCATATCCTGATGGCGCACCATATAGATACCCTGATGACGAAGCCTCGAAAGCCTCTTCTATCTTCAACTGTTTCAACCGCGGACAATCATATAAATACAAGTCCTTCAGGGTCGGCGAATGAAGCAGCATCAGAGATAGCCACTTCCCCGTTATTCCACATCTTATAATATCAAGACTTTCTAGAGCCGGGAGAATATCATCATTTGCAGTTATCATGTCGTCATGGGTATGCTTTGGCACATCATCCGAAGAGAAAAATTCTCTGCAGTGCACTATTTTCAAACTCTTTAAGGAGATGAGCTGACTTAAGCCTTTGAATGAAATGGATGTTAGGCTTTCGCAATTCAATATCTCCAAGTATTTGATATCCTTAAGATTATGGAATGCCAAAATTTTGTCATCGAGTTTATCACACAAAAGGTTATATCCGCTAATCTCTAATTTTTCCGTGGAAGATCCCTCCATTGTCATAATTGGTGAAACCTCGTTAATTGATAGTTTAGAAAATATGGCTGAAGGCGGAATGGGGGGTCTGTACTTGCAGATGAGGACAACTGCGCATAATGAGTTTCCTCAGATTGGGCAACCATGACTTATACTCAATTTTGTAGTTATGACCTTTCTGAAATAGATCAAACACCTCAAGTACAGGGCAACTCTGTATCTCCAGGAGCCTTAAACTAGATTTCATATCATCCACGGAAGTACAGTAACATGTTTGTAAATCTGACATTTTATATAAAACAAGCTCCTCCAATGATGGAAATGATACTTTTGTTGCACTCCGCATGTTTCTCAACTTCAACCTTTTAAGAAACCGAAGCATTTCCAGAGATGAAAGTACCCCCCCCCCTTCTCCGCAATCCTCTAGATGAACTGTATGCAATGACATAAAGAAAGCAACATCCAATACCTGAAGATGGAAAAACTTGCTCAAAACATGAGGCAAAGGCTGTTGCTCAGCATTATCATCCTCAAGTTTTAGATACCGGAGACGTGTAGGATTTACCAAGCTACATAAGAAAGATTTAAAATCAATAGATGTTGCAGACATTTGCAGCAGACGCAGATTATGTGATTTTTCAAACACATCTTGGAATGCGTTGAAGAAAAAGGAGTCATATTTCCCAATCAACACCAATGTCCTCAACTTTTTCACGGATGTGACTATATTTTGCAAGAAAAATTTAACTTTTTGAGGCACGTGAGATTACCCACAAAGCATGGACGCAAAGCTTTTCGGGGATAATCAAACCAATCAAGATGTTCAAGTGATTGCGGGAGGAGGCATCTGCCGTTCTCTTGGCAGTCTTCCCTACTCCCGTCAAATATTAGATGAGGGCAATCCTCAATTGATATCCTTCTGAGATTCAATGGAATTTGCACGAGTCTGTCTACATCTGAGCTTGGCCGTGTGTCATCTGCATATCTTGATGACGCTTCAGATAGATACCCTGATGATGAAGCATCGAAGTTTGATTGAACCTTTCCTTCCCCTTCTATCTTCAACTGTTTCAACTGCGGGCAAGCATTTAAATTCAGCTCCTTCAGGGTTGGCGAATGTCGCAGCATCAGAGATAGCCACTTCCCCATTATTCCACACTCTCTAATATCAAGATGTTCAAGAGCCGTGAGAGCAGCATCATTTGTAGTTATGATGTCTTCATAGGTCTGCTCTGGCACATCATTTGAAGAAAAAAGTCTTCCGCAGTACCATATTTTCAAACTCTTTAAAAAGATGAGCTGACTTAAACCTTTCAATGGAATAGATGTTAGGTTTCCACATGACGATATCTCCAAATATTTGATATCCTTAAGATTATGGAATGCCAAAATTTTGTCATCGAGTGCCATTGTCTCACCAGAAGGCAGTCCCCAAATTCTATTTCCGCTAATTTTGAATGTTCCAATGGAAGATCTCTCCATTGTCATAATTGTTGAAACCTCGTTAATTGATAGTTCAGAAAATATGGCTGAAGGTGGGAGGGGGGGTCTGTACTTGCAAACGAGGACAATCACACATAATGAGTTTCCTCAGACTGGGCAACCATGACTTATGCTCAATTTCGTAGTTACGACCTTCTTGGAATAGATCGAACACCTCAAGTACAAGGCATCTCCAGATCTCCAACATCCTTAAACTAGACTTCATACCCCCCACGGTAATGCATGAACATCATCTAAAGTCAGCTCCTCCAATGACGGAACCAATACTTCGCTTACTCTCCGCATGTTACTCAACTTCAACCTTTTAAGAAACCGGAGCATTTCAAGAGATGGAAGTATTCTCCATGCTCCGCAATCCTCTAGATGAACCGTATGCAATGACATACAGAAAGCAGCATCCAATACTTGAAGATGAAAAAACTTGCTCATGACATGAGGTAAAGCCTTCTGCTCAGTATGACCATCCTGAATTTTTAGATACCGAAGATGTGTAGGATTTGCCAAGCTACACAGAAAGGAATTAAAATCAGGAGATGTCGCAGACATTTGTAGCAGACGTAGATTATGTGCTTTTTCAAATACATCTTGGAATGCTTTGAAGAAAAAGGAATCATATTCCCCAATTAAGACCAATGTTCTCAGTTTTCTCACTGATGCGACTATATTTTGCAAGAGAAATTCAAACTTCTCATTACGAGGTATGTTCCCAGTCTGGTCATCCCTCTGATATACAGAATTGGTTACTATAGACAAATGCATGGTGTACAGTTGGCAAAGTTGGCAAAATTCCACTGCACTGCAAACCATCGAAGGCTGCATACTCAGTTCTTGAAACTAGCCTTGCAAAATCATACATCAGGCTACACATAGTATAGCAAGTTTGACTTTCAACCTCCTAAAACAAGCCCAGGTTCACCAAGTAAGTCAGATAGTACCGTCCCATCTCCTCCAAACTATTACTTGAATGATCACTCTTCACAAACCCCTGTGAAATCCAAAGATGAACTAGCTCCTCGGCATGAAATTCATAACCGTAGGGGAATATGGAACAATATGAGCAACATTGTTGCACAAGGTAGGGCAACTCATCATAGGAAAGCTTCAAAGAAGACATGATGCCACCGGTCTGTTGCAGGGATTTCCAACCTCCGGTCTTCAGAATGTTGCTCCAGTGATCCACAGTAAGATGTTCTTTTAATAGTGGCCCAGCGGTTTGTGCTGCTAATGGGTTCCCTTTTAACTTTTTTGCTATTTCATGTCCTAAGTCATTTAGACTTTCTTGCTCTTTGTAATTCTGATCACCAAATGCACATGCTTTAAACAATAGCCAGAAATCATCATTTTTCAAACTATGTAAGTTAATTGGTCCAGTTGTGCCCCTCCTTTTGGCAATAGACGGTTTTCGAGTTGTCAGAATTATCATATTGCCAGCTGCACCATTAGAATTGGAAGGAGCCAACAATTTGTTCCATCGGCCGTCATCCATGGCTTCCCAGACATCATCTAAAATAAGTAGAACCCGCTTTGATTTAAAATGGCCCTTCAAGACCTCCTGAAGCTCGGGAAAGCTGCATAGGCCATCATGTGTTTCGTGTGAGACATAATCTAACATATCTCTTGTGAGTCTCATTTCATCAAAGTTGTTAGACACCCAAATCCATATCTTGTGATCAAACTGTCTTTCCAAAGCTGGATCATTGTATACAAGCTGAGCGAGAGATGTCTTCCCAACTCCTCCTATGCCTACAATTGGCAGAACAGTTACACCTTGAGTTGATTTGTGTTCTTCTATCGACTTTTTGATGGATCTCTTCTCTGCAGCTCTCCCATAGACTTTCCCTTGAACAAGACCTGATGTTCTTGGGCGTGCAACTGAGATTGTAATATGACAGTGATTAGAACTTGCACCACCAGAGTCTGGCCCAAGTATCTTGAGAAGCCCTGTGATAGCATCTCGCCTGCCTTGCAGCTGACTAGTGATGTCTTGTATCCTTTCGGGAAATGTGTCCTTGTTCCAACTGTTTTGGTTAGCTGCGGCGACGTTTGTTGACTCCTGAGTGGTTCTCATCCTTTTTCTGCTAGACAAATTACCAGTTGCAACATGCGTAGGAATCGTAGTAGCATCAGCAGTGCTGCAATGAGAAACACATCATGGATTGGCAATGAGAACCTTAATATGCTCTTAAGTAGATGCGTATTAAAAAAGACTCGTAAAAGTGTGCCGGTGCGATGCAGAAAAATAATATAGGTACCTTGAAGAAGGGTCAGTTGGTCCACGTTTCTTGGTACAACTTTTGCTCTTGAGATGATTGCGCAAAACTGATGTCCCATTTCTGGTATCGCACATAAGCACCATTTGACAGCGCTTGCATCTTGCTCTCGAAGGCCCTCCATTTTGTGCAGTGTCTATGATGTCAAAGTGAACCCATTCCTTGGACCGTAACCTGCCATTGCTGCTACTCTGTACATCATCAGCATTTTCTGTGGAAGTCTCAACAGTTTGCAGCGGTCCATGTCCATCCGTTTGGAGCAGTGTCTCTAAGGCAGGCAGAAGAGAAAGTGGACCAGATATTCAGCATAGTCGTGCCTGACGTAAATAAAAAGAAGAAAAGGGAACTGCCAATTAGCAAGCAATTCAGCAGATACCAAAATTACCAGGTTGGAGCTCCTGCTGCTGGAGCCTGTAACAGTCGAGCTCGTCGACCACATCGTCCGCGTGGTAGAGCAGCTCCTTGACGGCTGCGAGGGATCGGGCCAGCGGCTTGTTCCCGGCCGCCCTCCCCTGCACAGCAGAAATCACCATCTCCACCGCCTCGACCTCGGTCTTGAGCTTCCCGATGTCGTTGCCGAGGCCAGCTTGCCGGATCCAGGAATCCAGCTTGCCGCCGGCTGGGAGGTTTGCAAGGATGGTGTCGGCAAGCCACCCAATCGCGGCCTCCAGGGTTGTGGCGTCTTCCACCGCCTCCATCACCAGATCCCGGCCGGCGGAACAGCGGAAGCAACTATCAGGGGATGGAGAGGGCAGCAGCTGGTTGAGATGCAGCAGCAGTTGTCTTTGTTGTGCCGTGGGAAAGTCCAAAAGCACCACCACTGCCTGCTCCCCGTTCACCTTTCTTTGTTGTAATCATGAGTGAGAGTGAGGAAACCGATGAAACGAGAGGGGCTGGAACGACACGACGAAGGTTCAGACTTGAGACTTTTTTTTTTTTTGCATCGAATCAGACTTGAGACTTGAGAGACCATCAGAGACGTGTCGTACTATTTCGTATTTGTCCCTCTCACCACATGGGCCGCCCTCTAAACCACATGGGCCGCCCTCTAAACGAGCCCACTCTGGCCCGTGAAAGTCTCTTGCCTGCTACTCCCTCCTTCCCGGGAAAGTACACATTGTTGGGTGACCTCGCTAATTGGAGAGTAGTGTTCCTTGCACAGGTCATTCCCATCTCTTGTTGGGCGACGTTTGTTTTATCTCTTGAATAATGTATCCAAATTACGAACCATTTTCATCATTACATTTCTCGTCGACATCCTTGAAGCTACATCATGTGTTAACACAGAATTTGATGAACTTTTGTTTAGTGGAAAAACCAAAAACCAAAAAAACAGAATAAAAAAATCGTAAAATCATAAACTAAATAAAGAGAGATAGAAACCGGAAAAAATGGAACCCAGAAGCACAGTTGTGTTTTCCACTTTTTCCTGGGAAGCAGGCCTGCGTTTTCACTTTTCGGGAACCATAGTTGTGCTTCTCGCAGAAACACAAGCTGTGCTTTCCCCTTCTTTTTTTTTGAAAGCACAGTTGTATTTTCCCTCTTCAGAAAGCATAACTATGCTTCTCGTGAAAGCATGGACTGTACTTCTCACAAAAGGACAACTATGCTTTGTGTTTCTTGAAAAAAAAACAATAAAGATTTTCCACCAAAACCTAGGGAAACCTAGCAACAGCCGAAAAAACAAACAAAACTAGAAAATGTTGCAAAAAAAAAATCCAAAGATGCACCAGCACGCGGCACATGCCGATAACTGGGCGCACCAAGTGGCACGCTCCCAGGCCGCCAAAAGTGACAGTTGAGTTCCCCAAAAAGGGCACCCTCTAATTAGTTGGTTTTCTTTGTTTATTCCAGGGTTTTACTTTTTTTCATTTCTTTTCCGTTTTCTTTATTTTTTTCGTTGTTTCTTCACAGTTTTTCTTTGCTTTTCATCGGTTTTGTTACCTTTTCTATATTTTTACTTGTTTATTTACTTGGTTTTCATTGGTTTTATCTTTTATTTCTTTGGTTTTTATTTATTTGTTTCTTGGTTTTCATCTGTTTTCTTTGTTCTTTTTGCTTTTTGCAATTGTTTCTTTAGTTTTTGCTTTTCTTTTTCTTTGGTTTATTTTCATTTTTTTGGTTTTCTTTGTTTCTTCTGGTTCCATTCTACAACTTTTGTATATGTCAACAACATTTTTCTAATATGCATTTAACATCCTTTCAATACAAATTTATTATTATTTTGATACATGCTCAACAGTTTTTTTTTCAATACACACTTTTAACAATTTTAAAATATAAAGATTAACATTTTGTGAATACTTGGTCTACATTTTTCCTATACACGCTTTTAAACTTTCTTTAAATGCTCGATTAAATTTTCTCAAATACAATATTAAATTTTTCTAATACATGGTCAATATGTTTTCTATGCACATTTAACATTTTTTGAGTGCTTTATTAATATTTTCTAAATGCAATATTAACATTTTTTAACACATGGTCAACATTTTTTCCGAACACATTTAACATTTTTCAAATGCTTTTTGAGCATTTGTTAAAATGCTTGAATAACATTTTTATATACATGATAAAAATTAATTCATTATTTTTAATACATTGTCAATATTTAATCTATACACATTTTAAAAAATTAAATACTTATTGAACAATTTTCAAATTCTTGATTAACCTTTTTCTATACAAGATTAAATTTTTTTCATCATTTTATTAATACATGGTCAACATTTTTTCTACACACATTGAACATTTTTCCAAATGCTTGCTTAACATTTTTAAAACACTTATTCAACATTTTTTCAAATGATTGATTTAAATTTGAAAATACATGATCAAATTGTTTCATACATATTTTATTTTTTATACATTTTTCCTTATTCATGATAAAGATTGTCTCTATACACAATGAACCTTTTTTAAATGGTTTTTGTAGAGTGATTTTTGTAATGTATTTATTTAGAATATTTGGATGTACAAACGGAAGTAAAAAAAGGAAGCAAAAAACATGAAGAAAAAAAGCATAAAAACAAAGCTATTGTTTTCTTCGTGCCTAAGCCGGCCCTACTCACGGCACCCAACCCTTCAGCGAGGGTTCATTTGTCTCGCTGAATGTGAGACATAGGGGCGCCCTTCCGTCGAAGCCATTCCATAACAAAAATTGTGTGCATGTGCTCTCATGAAAATTGTGCGCGCGCTCCCACTGCTAACGGGCCGCCGGCCTGATATCAGAATGTAAAATACTTTTCAGAAAAACTAAAGTTGTATTTTAGGCCGAACCTGTTCTGCCAAATATGGGTGCGTTATGTGATATTGATTCATCCAAACGGGTGAATAAGATCTCCCAAATTGATTCACTTTACCTTTATGTTTGCACATGGAAATACAAAATATAGGAAGGCAAATTAACAGGAGTAATTAACTCATTATTCTTAAGACAAAAGTTATTTCAGATCGATCGTGAACTACATCTGAACCAATAACTATTGACCGAAGAACACACTAGCTAGATTGCCTCATATATAATGAATAACCAAAGCTCTCCCGGACACACAACGCTACTAGGAGTAGTAGGCTACGTATTAGCTAGCTTAGCTTAGCAACACCCTGGACATGCACATAGTTGACAGTTGATGCTCTACAGAAAGCTGAAGCCCCCAAGAGCAGCCACGAAGACGAGAGGGAGGATGGACACCCAAAGCACCGTCTTCCCGACGTCGTGCCTCTCGTGCAGCTCGCCGGACACCCAGACGCCGACCAACGCCTCCACGATCCCAAAGACCACCACCGCGATGAGCACGGCGAAGTAGAGGTACAGAGCCCCGCTGCCGTGGTGGAGGAAGATGCCCCCGGGCGCCTTGAACAGGAGGAGGCAGAGCGCCGCCGCGGCCTTGAGGACGCCGCAGGAGATGAGCGCCCGCGGGAGGTTCTTCCGGTCGGAGAAAGCGCCGAGATCAGGGTCACAATGTTGCTGAGGATGGCCATGGTGGTGGACAAGTGTTGTGGTTTTGCTTGAGCTTTTGGTATTGCAGAGTGCTACAAGGTTCGGCCGTGAGGGGTCTGTCTATTTATACACAACGGCCACCCGAAGAGAAACCGAACGGCTGCTGGCAGCGCTGTGAAAAAGAAAAGGCAGAGGGTGGCATAGTCAGCAAGTCCTGGGTCCTCTGCTTCACGACTCCGGAAGCTGCCTCAGAATTTCGTCGTCAGCTGAAGCAACCCGAACCGAACAAACCCGATCGGTGCACTCGCCGTCGCCCTCTGCCGTGCTGAGAATCTAATCTTACTTGGTCGTCAAACCCCCAGTCCGTTACCGGCCAGCCAGTCCCTTTAAGCAAGCCCCTAGTTCAAATATTAGCATTCCAAAATGCAACATTGGTTTGCTCACTAAAACTGTACTGCTATCACATTTTACCATGTCATCGGTTAACAAGATTTAGATTTGCCAATGTAGATAATAATTTTCCATATTAGTTAGACAATGGTTAGCCTTCCACAAATAGTTTATGTCAAGAAACAAGATGTTCGGGCCGGGTTCAGGTCCGATTCGTGGGTTAAGTCAATGTGTCACGTCGCTGTCTTAATCTAAACGGCAGAAAGGGCAATTAGAGCGGGGGTTTCCTTTCGGGTTCGGTTCGTGTTTGCCACTCTTCTGTTCGGGTTGGTCTGTATAAGCACAAGTGAATTTTTTTGGTACATGCCTGTCTGCAACAGCTATTATCCAAGCTCAATACTGTCTCAGACAACGCACTGTAGATACACAAGCCAATGAATTTGCTTGTCAGCATTTTTGGGCTTAATGCACAAACAAAACAGTAGCCCTCAAATGGACATTCAGTTTTCTCATACTAGTTTTGGATTTCCAGTTTTTAGTTCCCTTCACATACGGAAAGAGGTACCCAAAAATCTAGGCAACAGAGTATCCACTATCAATCACTAATTCTCTACTGTGCAAGACAAAGAAAATGTTCAGTTTGAATGGAATAACAGCATAACATTATCACGAGGACTGATGACTGCCTTAAGTATGCATGCTTAGCATCCTACAGATAATAGTATGTCTCTGTCCAGCCGATAGGTCTGCATAATATTCTTCGGGTTCGGTTCGGATTCAAGTGGTTGAGCATCTCAGTGGAGGAAAGTTGCATTGACGAAAAGGACAACGTCCACATGCCATGTGTGACAAAGCCACCAACCAAAGGTCAAGCCGTGCGTGGATGATACTTAATTAATCACCTCTGGAATCAAGGAGCAAACCCGATCGGGTTCTGTTCGGGTTCGAAACTCTCTGATAGTTTGCGAATGGTTTTCGTGCTTTGCTCTTATTATTCTTGAATTATGATGATGTTTGTGGTGCCTGAATCATTTTTGTGAATGGCTTTCGTGTTTTGCTCTTATTGCCTGAAATACTTCTGTCCTTCAATTGTGCAAGGAAGAGATGTGTGTGGATTCTGGAATTAGCTACAGCAGTAAATCCTTGCATATTTAGCAAAACCATCTTCGATAGTGCTTTGACTTTTGAAAATTATGATGATGTTTGTGGTGCCTGGAATTAGCTACAGCAGTAAATCATTACTCCCGTTGGTTGGTTGCCTCTGATTCTCAGTTGTTTGCTCTGTTTTCAAATAGCTTAATGCAAATTGAAAATACATGAGTCCATACAACTGATTATATTCTTGACTCATGTATGTCTAGCTGT